CCACCTTGTCTATAGGCTTATTCTTGTCAACTTTTGCCACACTGGCAATGATCATTTTGTTAACCACACGAAAATTTTGCCATTATAGATGTTGGCATCAATTAACCAACCAGTGCCATTAATATGCGCCTACACAAATTGTTGAGTTTTAGGAATACCTATAGATGCTATTTTTTGTTGTCAATGGAATGGTAGGGGCACTAAGTTGTTGGTCGATGTCAAAATGGAGGATAAACCCTTAGACCAACAAAAGTTGATCCACTCGACATAGGAGAAGTGCCTCCTCGTATCTCTAATTCTTAATAGGTGATGAATAAGAGCGATCTTAGAGCTTTGAGATTTTCGATTGTGGATCTTGCCATGGACGACCTGGATCGCATGGGACAACCCCGCAGTGGCACCACATGATTTCCTCCCCGATAGAGGGGTATTCTTGTCATATCACTAGAGAACCCTAATCACTATTTCCCTATATTACCTCGCATCCTACACGCCCATGTTCCACTCGATCTCCCACGATTCCTCTTTGCGCCGCCACCACTCCTCTACGCTACGGGAGATCGATCCCGCCCGCCTCCTCCAACTAGGGTTGTGCAAGGACGACTGGTCCACTATCATCACGATGGAGGAAGGTGTTCTTGAGCCAAAGCTCCGATGGCCGCCCCTCTTGTTGTTCGTTTGTGCATCTCTGCCCAAGCTGAGGGTTCTGACGCCCGTGCTGCGAGGTCCTCCCCACTGTTTGATGTCCCAACTCCGTCGCCGCCCCCTGCAGTGAGCTACTTCCCACCCTTCGATGTCCGAGCTCCGCCCCACCACCTGTCTGAGCATGTTCATGCCCATGTTCTTCCACTCGAGGTCGGCAACAATCGTCGTTTATGACTCCTTCCCCACGTTCTCCTCCACACTCCTCTCTTGGGCGCCCAAATTCATGGGTGAGGTGCATCGTCAAAAGTCCTAGGTGAGCTCCCCTTCTCTTTGATTGGGTTTAATTAGATATATTACAGTTGCTTCATATGATTGGCCATATTCTTAGCTTGACCCACATCCACCAAGCAATTATACACGATTTGTGTGGAGAAACGATGTAGTGCCTCCGGAAGTGAATATAATTCTGGCATGGTTAAACATACATAACACGCCACAAAAATATATATTGAGAAACTTCATTCAATGACAAATCTGAAAATATATTTTTATAGCATAACTTATGTTTCCATCCGGTCCAGAGGAAGCACATATAGTTTCTCCAAGGGATTTGGACATACATGTGTGTACGTTCAAACTCATAAAAAGTAGTTTTCCACAATGTAGACATACCAACAGAGAAACAGATACAATGCAATATGCAAAGAGAAAATGCACGCCATAATTTAGTTTTATAGTTTTTGTTGAAGTGCGCAATCTTTCTCATCACCGCACATACCTATGTTGATGTTGGAAGTAGAGGGCACACAGAAGAGACCTGATGCCACTTGGACTATGAGAGGGACCCCAGCCTATGTCCATGTGCATGATACTACATTAGGACAAATATATGGGCTAGTGTTAGATGTGACGTTGGCCTCTAGGATTAGGATGCATGGAGGGTTCGGTCTCTACCATTCAGCGGAAAGGCGATCGAGATGTGGTCCATGCACGCGGAAGATAAAACAAATAAACGAGAACACACACACACACACACACACACACACACACACACACACACACACACACACACAAAACTCAAATATGTGATGTGAGGGAGCTTTCTCGGTTGGCAGATCACACTGGCCATTGATATTTTGGCCTTTGCATATAGGGCTGGATATGTTGGGTTAGTGGGGGTCCTTAAAATATACCTTGGATTATTGTAGCCAGGGCACTGCTGGTGAAGCCTGTTTCTGCCTATTTTGTACTATTAATGCAAGGCAGTAAATGGAATATATTCTCAATAAATACTATATCGTCTGATGTAATTTATACATACAGCTATACGAGAAATCAAAAACCTATAGGAACGCCTTATTACAAAATATTTCCAGTAAATATACCGCATTAAATAGCTCCGTGCTATTAATTGTAGTCCCTTATTACAAAATATTTTCCAGTAATTCACTGCATTAAACAGCTTCAATGTATTGCACGCTGTCTGTTCCGTGTATTACTTGTCCTTGCTACGTACTCATTATGTCACCTTGATCTCACGTACACAATTCGCACGTTCTGGAGTCCTATTCGAGCGATTCTCAATAAAAGAAGAAAAGAAAATCATGGTCTAGCTGGCTCATTGCTCATTGCCCTGACAATGACACCCGATTTCTTTTATGATCCAGGCTATTTTTCAAAACTTGTAAAAGAACCTGCAGCGCTCTGTGTCCACGAGATTCCGCGAGGGCAAGTTGATACCTTAGAGTATTGCCACAGAATAATTCCAGTATATAAAATGGGAGGAAAAGTACATTATTGCAAGTACAAACACAGGGTGTGAACCAATAATATACTGGCCGTGCAAGCACTCGATAGGCCAGTACCAAAAACAGCAGCCATTTCATGTGCAAATAAAATTACATAAGATACCAGTACATTGCTATTAACATATGAACGGCTGGGGTGATCCCATGGGCCAAATCGTGTTAGATCAACGTCGGTTTGAGAAAACGCAAATTCTAACCATATTATTGCAGTAATTTTTTTATTACACTCAAGAAGCACATACAAAGACATAACACAATACATGCACATCATGCGCTCACATTCACATGAGCACATCTCCTAATACAATGGAAAGATGAATTCGTGGTGGTGGTGGTGGAGGGATTAATGTAGTGGTTTTGATAATCCTAATTCATTTAGATTTTTTTTAAGTCTAAGGCTCCGTTCGGGAGCCATGTAAGCTCATAAGCTCGGAAAAAAAATGTATAGGTGTATTTAACTGTCCCATTGGAGAAGTCGGTATTTTACGAGGGGTTGGAATACATGTTCAATAGAGCAACCCATTCATCGTCATCAGCACAACCACCACTCTCGGCTCGACCCCCACCGTTGTCTCTTTTTTAGCACGCCGGTGCATGTCTCCGCCTCGTCTCTAGCACGCGACCGCACACATCTGCCTCCCTGCACACTCCTCCACCCATAATTCCTTATCCATCCCACCGCCGCACAACTCCTTGAGCTGATCTCACGACTGATATGGGTTGCTAAAGTGCAAGAGTGTGGCTTCTTCTTCGATGCATACTGTCCTATGCTCTCTCAAACCCACCCCATTGTTGCCTCTATCGAACCAAGCTAGGTGCAGGCCCATCACAAGCGGCACAGAGATCGTCGGCCTCATTGCCCCATCGCCACCTTCCTGGTGTCTTCGACGACTAGTGGTTCGAATAACTCATCTCGCAATTGCTCCAGCCCGCGCCCTCCACCTGACAAAGAGCATAGTCTGCCTGTCACCGTATCGACCCGCTGGGCAATGCGTGCTCTAGCTTGGGTGACCGTTAGAGAGATGAATACCGGGGGCGGAAAACGATGAGACGATCAGTGTTTCCAAAACCGGTGGAATCCGGGTGTATTTGGAAGAAACAATGTAAAGAATGCCGCCCCAAAACGACAAACCAATCGCATAACCAATGGCAACCCGTTTCCTTCATAGGAGTAAATTTTACGAGGGTTTGAGGCTGGAAAACAACAATCCAATCGCCTTGGAAAGTGCGACCTGCACTAAATCGAACTTGTGCGGTTATTTTTTGTAAGATACTTTGTTCCCACCCGTTACCGATGCTTTATTCATTTAAAGCCGGGCGTTTCTCGTGCCTTCTTCCCTCTCTAAAAACGAAGATAACCCAAAGGAAATGTTCGCAAACAAAAATGATAACCTACATGAAATGATTAAACATATTGAAATTATTGGGCCGTTGAGTAAGAAATCTTCCTTGATTGGAATAGTGGCAAAAATACTTTACTTCAAGGAAGGGAGAGAGAGTATAGATCTGTGAATCTGCCGTGCTGGTTGGATCAAAGAAATGCACTAAACAAACCTGGATAATAGAGATGGATGTAGTAATGGCTAAGCTGTCGTGCATCACTAATCTTATCATGTGCATAGTTTAATCAGCCCCATAGAGCGGGAACGCTCGCCGTGCCCCGGCCAGCTCGACCCACATCGGCATCAAGTCAAGCCATCATCAGGCAATTTTTTTAGAAAAAAAGAAGCCTCTGAAACATTAGTTAAAGAGATCAACGCCAAAACCATTGCTGTCCCTGCCCCCAACCCAAGCAGTTGTTGGGGCAGTGGCGCCACCATTCCGTCGTGGCGATCGTCCAACAAACGTACGCCACCACACAATTTGTTTTCCCTCAAAAAAAAAACCACACAATTTATTTTTCTTTTTCTGCACAAAATTTCGTGTCTGATGATGATTAACGGAGCATGTCAAAGTTGGCAAGCTCGTAGTTACGGACGTGCACAGGGCATCGATATGGCAAGCCCGAAAGGCGATCGGGAACAGCCGAACAGGCCGCACGCACGCAGCGAGCGAGCGAGCGAGAGAAAAGGAAACAGAAAAGGAAAATGCGTCCCGTTGCGATGGATGGATGGAGGGGTACG